TATTCCACAATAGATACGCACGTACAGAAATTCAGAACAAAAGTGTTTAACGTTACCCAGTCGAGTAGTCAGCGTTAACTAAAATTGACAGGAGGTTGAATTACTTTTAGGCCTTACGCTATCCAGAAGTAGGTCAAGTCAAACAGCATAACAATATAAAGACAACGTTCATAATGTCTTCGGTGCGCATATATATGAAAAATATTAAAAATATTACGTTATTGTTTAGCCGCTCTTGTTGCATTTTCGTTATCAATAAAGATGTCTATCATAAAGCATAAGCGCCCCTTTCGTATAGGTTGAACGCGTGGAGTGTACGCACATTCACAAACTGACAGGTGTATATTTTTTTGTACTATGAACCACCATCCACTACTTTAGTATTGGAGCAACGGCAATATAAATAAATAATAAATCACACACGCATGAATAATGAAATCACACTGCGCCACAGAACAATACTTTTGTACTCTGTTCCCCATGAGTAAATGACTTTATTAGTTCCACAATAGACGCGAGTTAATTCAACATCCTTGCACTCTGTTCTTCATGATGGTTTAGTTACAGATTTCAGGAATATACGGCTTGCGTTTTCTCTTTGTTCAAAAGTCCAACGTAGAATTTGTTGCGAATTAAACACCAAAATTCAAATGAACAGACTGTCTCCTAGTTTCTTTAGTTGTGCGTAACACCAAAAAGAAAGAAGCAATCGCTTGAGACAATTCCCCTTTCTTTTGTACATAAACTGTGAAAGTATCCCAAGATAAACCATAGCTTCGGCTAAGTGTATCAGTTATTCATTTAGACTGAATCGGAATGCCTTGCATATGTGTGCATGGGTTTTTGTCTGCCTAATTTACTTCATGTTTCTCTATCTCTACCGTCTTTCCGACCATTATTTCCCCACCCCTGTACATAGTAGCAAACTAGTTCTTCTAGGTTAACCTTCCTGTCTGTTTCTTTTATTTATTTTTCTCTTTCTAGCACTTGTATGTTTTACATGCCAGTCACATTTAGTTGTGTGATGAGCGTTATTACTAAAACAGTGCGAAAAAAGACGAAACAAGGAACACGGGCAGGAGAAGCGCCTTTACAGGTTGTTCTTCATTTTCTCGTTTCCTCTTTTCCTCTTTTTTTTTTCATGAGATTTACGACAATGAATCAATATCAAAAAGCTAAACTTCAAACTATTTTAAAACCATGAACACATTACGAAGTCTTCGATCACGTTCACAACTTTCTAAGTTTTTCTGCGGAAACCTGTTATTAAAAAAATATAAGCTTCGTTTGGCTTGTGACACGAGCCTCGAGCATGTTACCAGTCGGTGAGAAAGTGCCATTCGGGTCTAACCACAATGAATCTTCCACAAGGCCCGCATTCAAAAGACTTCTATCAAGCCACGATCGCTTCCTAATTGTCCGTTGTCAAGTAAGCCATGAACTCTGATTAAGCCACGAACTATAGATCTGCTGTCGATAAAGGTGTTCCGTTTTCATGAGTAGTCTTAAATTGGCCGTTACACCTGAATTTGTTTAAAGTGGTACGACGATGCCTCGTGCACTTTCTGCAAATGCTATTTATGAAGTATATAAAAACCTTGACGACGTTTGAGCGTCTTCAACAGTACAGGACTGTAGCAAGATCTAACTCAGTTCGCATTTCGAATTCTCGTTCCCAACCATCCGCGCCGACACAAAACTTCTTCGGCACCACTGGTTCTAACACTATCGTCGTAATATATCTTTTGTGGTAGCCAGCAAGGAATCGGTTCGACAGAAAATGTTCACGTTCATTGCTACAGCACATGCGATAGTTTATGAAATACCAAGAGGATTACGAAACGAAATCAATTTTTCGCAAAAAACGATAAAACACAGCATATGACATGACGTTACTTCTACTGTCTTTGGTGATTTGATGAGTGATATGTGGGGTTTAACGTCCCGAAACCACCATATGATTATGAGAGATGCCGTAGTGGAGGACTCCAGAGATTTCGACGACCTGGGGTTCTTTAACGTGCGCGCTAATTTTAGCACACGGACCTACAGGATTTTCACCTCCATCGAAAATGCAGCAGCTGCAGCCGGGATTCGATCCCGCGACCTTGCGGTTCAGCAGCCGAGTACCTAAGCCTCTAGAACACAACGGTGGCGTAAAGAAAACTGTCTTTCGTGAGTCACTGCATTTAGAACTGGATGAGGGATGCAGTATTTAATAGATGTAGTAATCAATTCAATTTACCCTAATGTCAATATTTGCACTTTTTTACCACTACTATAGGCGAAAGTGCACGAGAAGCAAGTCACCTACGCAGACGTGTACGCCGTGACTGTTCAAGCGGCATGAGCAGAAATAGTAATAGTAATAGTCCCGTGATCGTCTTCTCTAGTTTAGAGTGACTGTTTTGAAAGTATCTGCGAAATGCTTGTAAACGTTACAATGCTCCTTGCTGAAACTTTCCGCATGCCATTCCAATGCACCTACACGGTTTCTTACAGATTCCAAATATTTCAATGTATTTGCCATTAGTTTCCAAAACAGTGTTACCGAAATAGATGTCATTAGTAAAACAAATGAGAAAAGTTTCCGTACGGCTGGGTAGTTTAATGTAGTGACTCAATTCTTGGCTTGCTTCCAAACTTTTTTGACCCCTCGTTCTCGCAAGGGGACGATGCTGGTAAAAGACAGCTGGTATTTCTACGGAGTCGAATGCCTTTTCGTTTATAAAGGCCCCTAAAAGGGGCTTTCCAGACTTGGTATATTTGTCGATCACATCATTAATCACATGGGTGTGATCTATTGTGAAGTACCACTTTCTAAGAAAAGTACTTAAAAAACCACCTTGACCTTTTCCTCTTAGCGACATGTTCAGAACGGCAATGAAAAGTGAAAGCTGGTATAAATTATCATCTTTAAAGTCATTCAAATAAAAGACGTGTGGGGGGTAAGATGAAAAGAGAATTTAAAACTGCGGCTCTATCTCCCCTGAAGATAAAGCTATCACTCGCGGGTGTCAAGATGAGAGAGTACGCCCGAGAAGTGTCTACACGTCGCCTTCATTAGGCGCCCCTCCGCATATAACCGCGATCCTTTAACGAGCCATTAGCGTGCAGCTTAGTCGAGACGTCAAGGGTGCTCATCAGGCCTGTGGTAATCATTGTATGCCAAGGCTCTCATCTGGCCTGCATGATTTGCCTGCCATCTCTTTTTTTCTCTCTCTCTCTCTCTCTTTCTTTCTGTCTTTATCAGGTCGTGTGGTTATACCGACAGGAGGCTAGAGGGCGGTCAATTTGCACCGATACTCGGTGCAGCTTTCTCAAAGGAGGTGTCCTTCGATGCTGTCTCGTGTCAGGCAATAAGACGATGGCGTAAAGCTATTGCCTGTCGAGTCTAGCTGTAGCTTCTCGTTTCGCATCAGGTTACGGCAGAGACTGTCGCGGGCCACGTGAAAGCGGTGTCGGGTGAATAGACAGAAATGAGGCCTCGTTAGCGATGGCACCTGAAAGCTAAGGCTGGAAGGCGCGTAGATCTGTCCAATCATCCCGTACCCTCTTTTACGGTTTTCTTCCTTCGCTTTATTCTTAAAGTCCTTTCTTGGAACCGTTCACATTACGCATTGTATAGAATCCCTTGTAATGATCCCTCGTGCAAAACAGAAAAACGGTTACACGTTCTTCTCATCCGTGTGTTCCCTATATTCAGCACGTCGCAGAGAGCCCAAATTTGATAGGCTCGGTTGTATTACGGAACTGTTTGGAATCATGCTTGATTGAGCACGTTGCGGCTCTTCACATAATTCTTGACTTTCTGCTTCATCAATTGCTGATAATACTTCGCGTCGCTGGGATACTTCGTTGACTTTTGGTATCCCTGTCATACTCGTTTAGTAAAACATCACACTAACTGCTCGCGTTGCAAATTAACACAATTTTCGTTTAGCGCTGTTTTTAAAATCACACAGGAAACAATAGTATGTGCGTGGACCAAGAATGCCTTGCGCCCCACCCATAGCATCAATTACCATAATAAATCTGACTATATGTGCAAGTGCAAAAGGATATTTATGGTAATTTGGTGCTTTTTATTTACTGTTGTGTTCGTGAAATCGGCTAATGCATCAATAAAATAGAATGCTTAAATCCTGGATTAGCGGTGATTTTTCATGCTCGCAGAACAAGCAGAGGTGGATTAACAGCTTCAGCTATATAGATATCAAATGCAATTTAATTATCTGGTGTTGTCATAACCAAATGTGCCCCGGTGTACGCATTCTTAGCCTGCAAAGTCTGAGTTTCAATGCTTAAGCCCCGGCGATTTTCTTTTTGTGAGCCCTGTAATGTCGAAATGGGATGCGAAACATGACAACCACGCAAACAGCGACTTCGTCCATTTTCGCGTGTTAGCAACAACAGTGGTGTCAACCTGCGGGGGAAATCCCAGTTTCATTATTGGTGTGGCTTTCGGCGTTTCCTAGCAGATTTAGAGGCATTCAGATTTAGAAGCCGCGCTTTGGCTTCGTAACTGAGGCTTGATGCTTCCAACTGCGCATTAGCCTTTACGTTTGTTTCATTTCTATGACATCGTTTACGCTGACCTTTATTTGAGCCCTATTTTACGTCCACTGTAGGACGAAGGCTTTTTCTAATGACCCGCAGCTCACACTCTTCTACACGAGCTAAATCCATTTAATACCGTAACTTTTTTATTGCCCTTTTAGTTTAGTTCATTCATCCCTAACTATATTGTGCAAGTAATAAATTACACGATAATGTTTTTGCTTGAACATAGATGTCCTCTGTTGGTGCCTCAGCCACGTAAGCTTTCCTGGCGATTCGTTGTACTAATCTCGGCTGCGGATGCTCGCGGCATCAGAGCCATATAGCAATAAATACGCATGCATCAGAGTGCCTGTTAGCGAGCGTCTTTGTGCAATGAACCGTTACGGTATGACTGGTATATAGTACGGCGTTAACTCTATGCTTTTTTCTCACCTCAGTGACCATCAGAGAGAGCCATGGCCGAGCCTAATTGCAGCAGCGAGCAGGCACAGCTCGGTGGTGACGTGCTCCTCGTAAATCTGAGTGCGTTCGGCGATGAGCTCACGGGAGGAGTCTGGAGCGGCAACGGCGACACCCATTTCACGTGGTCCGAGTACGTCAAGATTGGCGCGTACCTCGCGACTATCGCGGTGGCCGCTGTGGGCAACACCTGCGTCATCCTGACAGTGGCGCTGAACCGCAGCCTGCGTACCACCATCAATTGCTACCTGACCAACCTGGCCGTGGCAGACGCCATCATCAGCATGTTCTGCATGTGGGTCTACCTGGTGAAGAACCTGTCGGACTGGTACGTGCTTGGAGCCTTCATGTGCCGCATCGAGGGATTCGCCCAGAGTAAGTACATTTTGCTCTTTTTATGCTGAGACTTAAATACTCAATTCTTCTATTAAAAAATGTGCCTCCTATTCCGGATCGGCCAGATTGTGGGAAGCTATTTAGCAGTCTAACGCATATTGTCTTGCACTGTCCTGTGTTACGGGACACGTCACACACCAGCGAACAGGATTGGCAAGGCGTCGTCGCAAGCAATGCGCTGAATATGCAACCAACGGCCGTCCTGAAGGCCCGTGAAAGAGTGGAGAAGCATGGCCTCCCGATTCCGACACGGAAACCAGTGGCAATCCGAGGGTTCCAGCGGGGTCTTCCCGGCTAGTTCCTCAGGACTTGAAGTTCTCTGTCTGTCTGTCTGTCTGTCTGTCTGTCTGTCTGTCTGTCTGTCTGTCTGTCTGTCTGTCTGTCTGTCTGTCTGTCCTGGAAGAATAGAAAGGTTCATAATTTATGCCACTGAAAGCATACTCTCTAGCGGCTATATAGACAACTATCCTGGTTGACTCTGCCTTTGTCTGACATGTTCGAGCGTGTCAAGCTTTGTATACGTATTGCGAAAAAAATTACGGCAAGAAATAAGACCAGAAAACACGTAGCAATAACTTACAGCTAATTTACCAAACAAAAAAATCCCAAGATGCTCTGTTTCATCCACGAATACTCATGGCAGTCGCATCTCCTCACAAAAACCTTTCCTCGGTGAGCTCGAATGTGACCTTTCTTTTTGGTACCTGTTTTTCACGCGCTTCGCATTTTACGTCAACACGCACAAACTCGCACAACCGATCTGGTCAGTCAATCAGCGATATACTTTTTTTAACGCTTAGGATTACAAAGGCCGTGTCCCAGAACTTGTGGTATCGGCGTAGAACGGCATTTTTACTGACAGAATGATTCCAATAAATGCGCGGAATAAAAGCTGCTTTACAAAGAAGCGGCTGCAGGCTTCCAACCTATTTTAACAGGCTCAGATGTATTTAATCATCTCCTTCAGCCCCTTCTGGAACGAAGGGCGCCGCAACATATGTGCGCGTATGCATGCATTCATTCATTCATTCATTCATTCATTCATTTATTCATACTGTCAGCCCAGTACAGGAGTGGAAAGAAGTCATATTTAAATATAAATATGCATGAGAAAAACACGAAAAAGAAACACGTATCCATTTACGGTACGAATCTAATTTCCTTAAAGACGTGTAGTAAATAGGCACGACACAACTTTAATTACAGAAGACGCCTTAGAAGAGTTTACACCAGTCGATGTCACGCACACAGACATCTTTTATCCCTCTCAGAATGGTTGAGGTGTCCACTGAAAAGCGAACCACGGCAAGCAAATGAGACAGTGATGCGAACGCTGCGTAATAACGCTATCGCAGTGCACTCTTAAAGGAGAAGCTTAAACGCCTTACACGTCTGATTGCGATGTACTCATTGGCAAACAAAAAATAAGTTTATGTATCTATCTATCTATCTATTTATCTATTTATCTATCTATCTATCATCTAACTATCCATCTATCTATGTACATTGTGGTGACATCTTGGTAACCTATCTGTTTCATTATTTGAACATAATTAGCATACATTACCTGACATGCACGTGCGACAAAAATGAGTAACGTCTTGTGAATGTCATCCATGTCTTGATACCAACAGAAATAATTACATCATGGGCACGTCGGGAAGATGCCCTGGTCATTTCGTTAATTTGGTGAATGTCAGAATGTGTATGACATGGTATGCTTGAATGCATGACAAATAGTAATTACATATCAGCCCATCATGAAAAATGTTTGGCCACAGGGTGTCGCTGGAGACAACGTTTAGAAAAAACATTCTTTATTCTGATGTTGAAGAGAGAAATGGAGCTAGAAAAAACTTTATTACATCTTTATGCCGTGAGTAGGTGGGAGATGGCCTGGTGCGGGCCACCCCTCAAAGCTAGTAAGTAGACTCTTCATTATAGAAACCCATTGGCGACCAACGCGACTTGGGCTCGGGTGGCCAATGCGAAGCAACGTCTCCCTCCTTTAGATGTGATGGCACGTATATACTGCACGTCATAACTTGAACAGCGTAAATTACTAGATGCCGCGGTGAGTGTTTTTTCAAATGGGATACCAGAATATACATTTTACATAAATGACATGTCAGATTGCGGCCCCAAATTAAGCTGCACCATTCCTCTTCATCAGGATTTCACTATTTGAAGCTGCCACGCTCTCACGGTAACTATTACGGATTTCGAACTACGGCCTGGATGAAAAATGGTTCAACGATTAACATTCTCAGAGAGTTGGCTAAAATATTTTAGAATACTCTGACACTGACTATTTAGATAAGATGAGTGCAGGCGCGCTGAACTTACCCTTTACTCATTTATGTGCAACTTACTGTGCCTGTCCTTTAAACACCGAGCAAAAACGGGAAAAGGTGTGCTTTTATGCCATGATCAAGCTTAATTGAACTGATATTATGTGATGTTCAGTACCAATAGCTCTATTCATGATTTATAGCGTGTTAGGGCTGTTTGGCAACGAATATGATAGTTACTTTGCTTTGTTACTTTAGGCTCCTTTTAGTTTAGGTTCCAGCACCTTTTCTGATCTCCCTAACGGCAGCCCTGATTTCAGGAGGCGACGCACACGGGCCTTTTTCGGCGAATGACGTCGCCTTTGCTGTCTTGTTTGCAACGATTGTTCTCGTTGTGGGCTTGAAGTTCAGCGCGTGTTGCACCCCAGATACTATTGTCGTTTAGTGACCCACCAAGGGCAGTGACTTGACTGTAAGTCGCGACATATGCAGGGCAGCCGCCATAAAAGTCATAAATATAAACTTCTGACATGATGACAACGCATAATGCACCTGGGCTGTACGTGAGTAATTAGGATGTCCTGCCTAAGGAAAGCACCGCTACAAATGTAGAGGAAGGCACCACTCCCACGTACGACAAACTAAATGGCATACATGATACATGATCCGGACGGTCCACTAAGTAATGGTCGTTTCCAGAAACATTTGTGACCGCATTTACGGGGCTGTTGTGCTATCACTGGAACTTTTTGTTGCTATTGAGGGTGAACTGATCTATATGAGGTGGGTTGATCGTTATTTATGGTGGGCAGCGTTTGCGATGAGCTCTGGCAAAGGCAATTGTCTAATCCGACCTACCCGCCCCAAAGTAAACCGAACGGATGAAAGGACGTGGGGCTAACATTTATATCGTTTTCAAGCATATATATACGTGTTTCTTTAAATGATATAAGAGTTACAAAAAATGAGGAAACGATATAGTAATAGCTTTGCGTGCAGTGGTAGCGGACTCAATCAGAGTGTCGTGAAAACAAAGAAGCGGCAATATTGTCTTTCTATTAAACTAAAATGCATACGAAAGCGCTTCGGAACTGTCATTACAAGCAGAGCCTTTCAAGAATAAATAATTACAAAGGAAACAAAAGACTCGAGGACTTTTAATCTTCACTTTTAAGAGTTGAACGCGGCAAGGATATCCTGTTCATATATAGTGCGTACTTCAATCGCTTCGTGCATAATATTTAATGCATCATGTCACTCGATAAGTTTAAATTGTGGATTAGCCTACTACAATGTAGTCGATAAAGTTGAAAGTGGCTCGTGTCAGTGAAGCTTTCGCATATGGCTGCACTCTGCGTAATTGGTAATTTGTGCTTTAAACCACGAGCAGTTATGCGCGTGAAATCTTTTCGAACTCGCTGTGCACCCGCTACCTGGTCTTAAAAGAGTACGCACTGTAACGTGTGTGACTTTTGTAATGGGTGGCTGAAGTCGATACGATAATCACATGCTCTGACACCTGATAGCAATGTATACGGTTGTCTAACGCAATATTGCTGCGATATCACATGTATTTCGAAGCCTGTATACAAGGCTTGTTTGTTTGCGAAGCATAAACGTTATTTTCACTACATTTCAAGCAGAGGAAGTTGCTATGACATTGTTTCCAAACATACACGTTGCTGCGTGGTAGAACACCTGCTGGCCAGGCAAACATCCTGGGTTCGATCATGACTTCGACCCGGACATTTTTATTGTTAATTTCATTTGCATGTTTCCCAATTTCTCGGTAACACAGAAGATGGCGATTTTTCGCTCACAACCAACAACACCGATGCCGATACTGCCGCCGGAATTTCTGCGAAACAAGCTCTTCAACGCGATAGCGTTAAAGCAGAAATCACTGTGTTGTGGAGATGTAGGACAACACTTCCAGCAAAGCACTCAGCAGCGTTCGGCACAGATGTACGTTTATTTGTTTATTTCTTGATTTAATATTCTTTTAATTATTATTTGTACCAAATTTCAACTTTAGGTAAGCGTGTCACATTAAGGAAACGACCAACCGAACTTTTGTTGACTTGTGAACAAAACTGCGCTAATCTACTGTGTGCGTTCTAGTACGATAACCAGAGATCAACTTTGAGGTCGTACAAGTTAGCGCACATGATTGATTGTGTTGGCGAAGGAATCATTGTTTGTACTACATATGAGAGTACAGCATTTAACAAATGAGGTGCATTTCAAAATTACCTCTTTAGAATATTAAGAAAGCAAAACAATTTGTTACTGTAACAAGGGACTTTATTAAAAAAAGAATTTAAGAGAAGGCCGCAAGAGAAATCGTCCTGTATGTCCCGATCCGAATAATCAAGATGTCAAGGACACGCAAGGCTATAGTTACGTTGTTATCATCGTAACGATGAACTATAGCTAGAAAAAAGTTTCAAAAACGTTTGCATGTGGCATCCTGACCCGAGAGGGAATCAGGAAAAAAAACATTATTTTACACACGTTCTTCTTGCTGCAGCTGAAAAAAGCATAGAGCTAAGAACACTTTCTTTTTTTTTTTTAGTAAAGATGGTCGTGCAACAGCAAACACAGAGACGCATGAAAACAACAAAGACCTTCTCGTCCTCACGAGCGCAGGTGTCATTGGCACGCGTCCTGCACGACCTAGACAATTCT